CAACGCCTGGCCATTTTTTGGTTGCAGCCATCATTGTTGTTTGGCGGGTCCGGGCTGGGGATTCGAACCCGCCACCTTAGGTGTACGTGGCTGGCGCCTCAGCCTGTTGAGCTATAGGCGCCGAGCCAGGGATAGGAATTTTAATGTATCTAAAAGCTGGTGTTAAGAAACAGTTTTATTTGGAAGTTGAGAAAAGGAAGCAAATATTTTCAAATTCATTTTCTTTAATGTTCTGTTCACCTTGTATTCAAAATAAATATCTGGATATTATTTATTTAGAGGTATTTTCATGTATTTCTCAACTTTAAAAAATGATGAGACAAATATCCATTGTCCCTGTTAACTTAATCCATAGAGCAGAGACGAGGAATGTGTAATAGTTTTATAGAAAATGTTTTCTAAACAAAGTAAATCTAAATTTTTAAAGAAGAATTCGCTCTATACAGATTGAGCATCAGAAATTCAAATGCTCCAACGTCTGAACCTTTTTGATGTGACACTGACATGGTGCTTAGAGGAAATGGTCATTGGAACAGTTCAGGTTTGAGGTGCTCAGACACGCTGTTCCCACTCACGTCCAGCCCCATCATCATCAACTCCACCATTTCAGTGCACCAGAGATAACTTTAAGGTTCCCCTCCCCACTCTGGCCCTACTCATTTTTCTTCAGTAAAAACATCTTTAATGCTACAGAATGGGATTATAGCAGTTGCTTTTTCTGGGAACTCTGTTATTGGAGAAACAGTCATTTTAGCTGAACTGCCTTGTAGTTGTTGCCTAACAAAATATGGTATAATCAAATTATAGCATAAAATGAAGCATACTGTAATTACTGTTGTAATCTTCATTTTTCACGGTTCCCTGGGGCTTTCACTCCTTGGTAATCTTAGCCATAGATCATTATTTCTAGAATCAGATTCCTAATTCTAGTGTGATCTCTGGTCTCATATTGACCAAAATTAGTCTTGCCCAAACTTACAGTTTTCTTTTACATTAGTTGTCCTCTTCCATTTTCTGTCATCCCTGGCCTTAATTGACTCACCTGTTTCACTGAATGGGCAATAAGTTTATGGAAGAAAAACAGTGGAGATAAATCGAGGCTAATGGAATATGGCTGGGTTTTTTCCCCCTCTGATAATTGAGAGAAATCTGATTTTTAGGGACAATATTTTGTTCTTTCTCATCATCTCTTAATGTGGCAAAAGTCCTATTCTCTTGTGACCTTTTTTGTTTCCTTTTAGAAGTGTCTGTCATTATTGAGCTTGACTGTCATAGAGAAAAGTATAATATTGCTTGTTATATTTGTTCATGTGGTTTTAAAATTCTGTTGTTTCATGGTGAGCCTAGATATACAATATCTTTTTTTAAATACTTTTTTATATAGTGTATATATGGATCTTAATTTGGAGTATGCATCCAAAGTTTTGAGGGACATTTCCTAACATCACTGGCCTGTTGTTTCTCTTGTAATGAGAGGATTCTGTTTCAAGATTATTGGCCGCATGTGGTCTGTGGCCCTGGAACAGAATGAAGTTAAATGGCCACAGGGGAATTATGAGGTTGGCATTTTTTACACTGCTAATATATTCTGACTAATTGAGTTATTAGTCTCAATCAGGAAAGAGTGTTACCTATTATCAGTGGTCAGTTAAGGCTATTCCCCAAAGTATCTTTTATCTTAAATTCTAGTCTTATGGTATCATTCTTTTTTAGGATTCTTGTATATTAAACTTACAGTATGATATTTTGAAGTTGATGCTTTTCTATTCTCTGTAGCTTTTTGCATTAAATAAATTAAGCAATAGACTGGGGGTAGGGAACCCATGAGTTGTTGGGTTAAAGACCTAAATAGTGTCCTAACTCTCCAAAATTACATGTCCATAGGAGGATGTATTGAAATATGAAACCACATGTTTTCTTGATACTTCACTATGCTACTATTTTTATTTCTTTTTATCCCTGGTTTTTCTTCACTGAATCATAAATGCTCCAAGAATAACCAGACTAAATCTTCTTTGGGTTGCAATTATCTAGATGTTTCAGAAAGAACAAGTGGATCCTCTTCAGATGAAATTGCAGCAGGTGAATGGACTTGGCCAGGGATTAATTCAAAGTGCAGGAAAAAACTGTGATGTGCAAGGTTTAGAACATGACATGGAAGAGATCAATGCTCGATGGAATACACTAAATAAAAAGGTAAGTGAGAAGAGGGTAACAAGTGTTACCTTTCTCAGGAGGCAGAGAAAGACATGGAAATCTAAGGTTTCTCTGGAACTTGAATGCAAATAAAAACTAACAGTTGCAATCTATAGCTACTAAAAAGGGTCAATGGAAATGTAAAAACTGCTCTCTATCTTTTCCCAAAAGAAGCCTGCATGTCTGTGTTACAGGTTGCACAGAGAACTGCACAGCTCCAAGAGGCTTTGTTGCATTGTGGGAAATTTCAGGATGCCTTGGAGCCATTGCTCAGCTGGTTGGCAGATACTGAAGAGCTCATAGCCAATCAGAAACCTCCATCTGCTGAGTATAAAGTGGTAAAAGCACAGATCCAAGAACAGAAGGTAAGTGAGAATGTTGGGACAGTGAACTGGAACAGCCATAGGGAGTTGTAGACAACACATTTGTTTATAGTTTAAGGAACAATTCCATTGTAATAGAATTCTAACCTACTTCTAGTCAGTCATCCTGTAAAGAAAGGTTGAAATTGATTTTCATCATCTTACTTTAATCTTCTAGTTTACTGTGGCATGTTAGACTGAATAATTTCACTTGTTCATATGTTCTATTTCACTGTGCTTCTACAGCTTTATAGTAACAGGTTTGGATTGTTTTGCGATATTCTAAATAATATTTAGTGCATTTTAATTTTATTAAACATTTATTCCAAGGGAAATTTTATTTTTTAATTGAAGTATAATCAATCAATAAAAAATGACATATTTGCAGTTTACAATGCAATGTTTTGATGTACATATACGTTGTGAAATGAATTCTGTAATCTAGCTAGTTAACATATCCCTCACTTGACATGTGAACCACTTTCCAATGCCCTTTAAGTGTGTAAAAAGTTATGTGAGTGGTGAGAACTATGCTGTTTCTTATGCTTTTTCCTCAAGAATGGAAACTTCTTTTACTACGTTCATTAAGTTTAGGGTGGGGTTGTTTCTCCTGATATTTTTCTTTATACTGCAGATTTTCAAATGACACTGTGTTATCATTTTCATTTTCTTTAAACATGTGTATAATAGTTGCTTCAACGGCTCTTAGATGATAGAAAGGCCACAGTAGAAATGCTTCAAGCAGAAGGAGGCAGAATAGCCCAGTCAGCTGAGCTGGCTGATAGAGAGAAAATCACTGGACAGCTAGAAAGCCTTGAAAGCAGATGGACTGAACTACTCAGCAAGGCAGCAGCCAGGTAAGACCAAAGGAGTTTTGAGGAATGGGTCTAAGGTTTTTTATGTCCTATTTTTGACTTACTGTCATGCAAGTACTCTAAATAAAAGCTCATGAATGATTCATATCGTACTTTGGAAGGGATTTAACAATTTTTATTTGAAAAAGAATAAGTTTTGAGGGATGTTCTATGTAACCAGATTCACTTTCAGGAAATGAACTTCAACTACTCATAAATTTCTGAGCAGTGGAAGACTCCTTGGTCTGTGTGGTGTTTTGCTGCAGTATAATTATGCTTCCAAATGACAGGCACCAACTCTTACAATCCAGCCAAGTTTTTTTCTGAGTTTTTAAGACAGATTTTTCTCCCTCTATGTTTATAAATAATGCTTTTGATACTTGGATTTGAAATTTGTCATATTTCTTTTCTATTAGTTTATCCTAATATTAGATGTTTTTGCATCTAGCTAGTCTGCAGTTCTCTTAAATGGCTTCAAGAGGTGCATAAACTTTCTTCAATAATTGGTCAAAAGAAGAAAATGCTTTCTCTTTCCATAGCTATGAGTAACCCTCATGTGACTTGAGCTTAACACACCACCCGGATGTCTTATCTTTTAACTTACACTGCCACTCATTTTAAAAATAAATACCAGATAATCAGAAATCAATAAGAAAGTAGTAGCATCAATCATTTGTCATTATGGTCCATGGCAGTCTTTAGGTAACTCCTTCAGGGAGTGCCAGCACACTTAGCTAATTTTTAATTTTTTTGTAAATACAGGGTCTTGCTTGTTGTCCAAACTCACCTCAAGCTCTTGGTCTCAAGCTTTCCTCTAGCCTCAGCCTCCCACAGTACTTAGATTACAGACATAAGCCACTATACTGGGCTACTAAAAACTTTTGTTTGGATTTTTAAATTTTGGATACTTGATGCTTTTAAATTACTTCTAGCTGTTCTCTTTGATACCTAAGTCTTATTACATTGAATTCTTCAAACTCTGAGATTTCAAAATCAGAGATGAGTCAGAAGAACATAGAAACTAGAGGAAATTTTTTAAAAACGAAATCAATTTTAATCTTTAAGATTATATGTTTTAGTCCGGGCATGGTGGCTCATGCCTGTAATCCTAGCACTCTGGGAGGTCAAGGCAGGTAGATTGCTGAGCTCAGGAGTTTGAGACAAGCCTGAGTAAGAGCAAAATCCTGTACTAAAAATAGAGAAGTTATCTAGGCATTGTGGTGGACACCTACAGTCTCAGCTACTTGGGAGACTGAGACAGCTTTAGCCCAAGAGACTGAGGTTGCTGTGAGCTATAATGACACTGCAACAGTCTTCTCAGAACAACAGAGTAAGACTCTGTCTTTTAAAAAAAAAAAAAAGATGATATGTTTTAGTTGTATTCATTGAAGATGTATTTGGAAGACCAGTATAACAGACTGGGAAGAGAAGTTCTATACTTAGATTACCTCTTAAAAATAGTAGCATCTAGAAACAGGTTTTTCTTTACATTCAAACATAATTGAATTTCCACATAACCAAACGCCAAATCTTTTTATTTCAATCATTTTTTTTATTAAAATAAGTTTGTCAGGGTATATACAGCAGAGGACCTGGCACAAAGTATGTATTAAGAAAGGTTTACTAAACTGAAGTGCATTATGTACTCCCAGGCCTTTTCAAATGACATATTTTTTGGTCTTGTCTTAGTAGTTCTCAGTCAACTTTATGACCTTTCATTATTAGCCTGTGCTACTAGTTCTGTAGTTATTTTCCTTGTCAGGTGGCCTCCAATGTCCGAGCTTCCTCTTCTCCCCTTTATAATTTGCTGCTTTTATTCTATAGACAACTTGAAATCCAAACTTAATATGGATGTTATATTAAGTAAGACTCCTATAAATTTTTGGCTGCTATTTGTGTTGGCAAATTCAGGCAGTCTGGGGTCATTTTTTTTGTCCCTCTTAAATCTGGATTCAAAATGTATTCTGGTGCTTGAAATTATAAGAAGCCTGAATCGATTTGGGGGCAATGAGGAGAGAGTTTTAGTTCACAGAACTACAGTATACTGCTTTTCAGATACTCTTTTTTACTGACAAGTGAAGGTAGCAGTGACAGAGAATTTGAAACTGATGATTTTTTGATTCCTTTAAACTTCATTTGGTCACATGTTCAGGTGACGCATGTACTACATTCTGTTTTGATATGTCTGTATGATATAAGGAGAAAGAGCATTAAAAGATCTGATTCTAGAATGGTTCCTGTGGCTCAGTGAGTGGGGCACCGGCCCCATATGCTGAGGGTGGCGGGTTCAAACCTGGCCCCGGCCAAACTGCAACAACAACAAAAATAGCCGGGTGTTGTGGCAAGCGCCTGTAATCCCAGCTACTCGGGAGGCTGAGGCGAGCGAATCGCCTAAGCCCAGGAGTTGGAGGTTGCTGTGGGCTGTGTGATGCCACAGCACTCTATGAGGGCGATAAAGTGAGACTCTGTCTCTACCAAAAAAAAAAATCTGATTCTAATCCTCATTCTACTATTGCTGCTCCTTGGGTGATTGGACAGATCTTTAAGCCTTCCAGGTCAATTTTCTTATTTATCATAGTGGAATAATTATTCTGCCTACCTTAAAGGTTATGGCTGGGTCAAAATAAGGTAATGCCATGAAAACCTTTAAAACAGCAAAATGCTACATAATGTGTGTTTTGTTTACTATTGGTATTTAACCTATGCTTAGTTAAGACTGTTCTTTTACTGAATGCAGTCCTATTTAATGTGACTTTCTGCCTGAGCAACTTGTTCTATATCTTTGTGCAGGCAAAAACAGCTGGAAGATATCTTGGTTCTGGCCAAACAATTCCATGAGACAGCTGAGCCTATTTCTGACTTCTTATCTGTCACAGAGAAAAAGCTTGCTAACTCAGAACCTGTTGGCACTCAGACTGCCAAAATACAGCAGCAGATCATTCGACACAAGGTAGGAAGTAGTTATAGTTAATGAAAGCACAGAATTGGAATCAGAAATCCTAGAAATAAGAAAACTGCCTATAGCATTTCAGATATGTTTTGCAGGTTGTTTTCTTTTTTAAGTTTAATTTAAAATATCATCAAATTATTAAGTAGAAAAGTCACATTCTTAAAGTAAAAATAGAAATTGATTAATAAGCCATCATCAGAAAAAACAGCTTTTGTTCCCAAAACAAAATAGCTTTTGCCCTTCAGTAGGTAAACTTTTTTATTATTTAATTTGTTATATCATTTGTTATTCATCATTATTTTACTTTTCATTTATTTTGTTTCTGTTACTCATTTTCTCCATCTGGATTTCCAGGCTCTGGAAGAAGAAATAGAAAATCATGCAACAGATGTGCACCAGGCAGTCAAAATTGGGCAATCTCTCTCCTCCCTGACATGTCCTGCAGAGCAGGGTGTGCTGTCAGAAAAGATAGACTCATTGCAGGCCCTATACAGTGAGATTCAAGACTGGTGCTGTAGGAAAGCAGCCCTGCTTGACCAAGCACTGTCTAATGCTAGACTGTTTGGGGAGGATGAGGTGGAGGTGCTCAACTGGCTGGCTGAGGTTGAGGACAAGCTCAGTGCAGTGTTCGTAAAGGATTACAAACAGGATATCCTGCATAAACAGCATGCTGACCATCTGGTATTCATGTTTTCCATTCTTAACTGATTATGTTACTACGTTATTTTATTTTGATTTGTGTTTCTCTTCATTTCTTTTTTTTTTCTTCTTCTTCATTTCCAATACTTTAGCTTTATTTTATGCCCAAGTTAATAGTTTATAGACTTGGTATTAAGTACTAATCTGTTTTTGGATGAGTCCATGGAAATACTTGTATTTAACAAACTAAACTGGTAATACTAGAAGATGGTGTGTGGCATGGTCAGGTACCATCTCAACTCCAACTCATGATTTGGATTATTAGATAACATATCACTAAGGTTCTCTTTAAGCAGTTTTATGAAAGAAAAAGTACTTTAAAAAAAACAGATATATCTAAATAGTGCACGGGATTTGGTCATGTAGTTATAACTTGTACTATATTTCTGGAATTTATATGCTTAAATTTTGAGGATTCTGTGTCATTTTAGTAGAGCAGAGTTTGCCATTTTTATTTCATTTTTACAAAATCTCTTTGGGAATAGTAAAAATAGACAAAGCACTTTTTTTAATAGTCTAATATTATTTTGCTTCTTTGGCTTCAAATAGGAAGAGAGTTTTCAGCCAGGATCCTAACTTAAGTCAACCTATTTTTGCTGGTTTTTGTCTCTTGAACTTTCTGTTTTATTCTTTATTTTTTGTTGAATTTCACTTCTGCCTTTCTTAAGTTGAGATTTGATACCAATAGATTGGTAAAGCTGATTTAATTCTAAATCCCTTTTTATCCAGCACAGAAGAAAGCTTGCGTATAAGTATCTGATTTAGTTATTTTGAATAATTAGTGGGCTAACCAAAAAGATAATGAGGAAATCAAATATCTGATATTTAAACTAAAGTAGTGTTCATCTCTTTAAAGTCTCACATTTCTTTCCCTTTGTTGTGCTATAGTTTTAGAATTAATGGTATTCTTTCCTTTCAGGCTTTAAATGAAGAGATCGTTAATAGAAAGAAGAACGTAGATCAAGCTATTAAAAATGGTCAGGCTCTTCTAAAGCAAACCACAGGTACTTTGAAAGTGCATTTGTTAGCGCCTCTGTTTTCAAAGGCAATCGCATTTCCAGGGAGTTCCTTGTGTAAGCCACATATGAGGAGCTTAGTGATTTTGTTACCATGTACTCCAGGAAGCTGATGCCCTGTGTTCTATTTCCTGCTAAATCTTTTGAAAACTAAAGGACTTAGTGGTCTCCCACCAGTTATAGATGATGATTCCCCTTGCCCTCCAATATGTTGAATGTGAGTGTTCACTGAATGGTGCTATGAACACTAGAAATACCCAACTCTCAACTCAGATCTTAATGATCTCAGAGGTGGCCTCTTTTATCAGGTGAAAGGTTTATTTTATTTCCCACATACACTTAATATGGAATGTTAGGTGAAATCATTACTACAGGGAGAGAGCATCTATAAAAATAAAGATCTAATTGGAAGAAAGCATTAAAGGGACCCCACCTTCCTGGCTCTTAACTATGGTAAATCATGTCTTACATCTCACAGGTGAAGAGGTATTACTTATCCAGGAGAAACTAGATGGAATAAAGACTCGCTACGCAGACATCACAGTCAGTAGCTCCAAGGCTCTCAGAACTTTAGAGCAAGCCCGGCAGCTGGCCACCAAATTTCAGTCTACCTATGAAGAACTGACCGGGTGGCTGAGGGAGGTGGAGGAAGAACTGGCAGCCAGTGGAGGACAGTCTCCCACAGGGGAACAGATACCCCAGTTTCAGCAAAGACAGAAGGTAAGCTGTCACTCCATACTAAAAAGGAGTAGAAGTTTTCCTCTATCAGAGTCCTTAAGTTCATCACTTTTACTTTAATCTAAACCAAAATGTCTGCCTCTCTTTTCTGTTTACTCATGGACAGTAAGATTTGATATAAAGACATATATAAATAATGTTACATATATGTTCTAGTCTAAAGAAGAAAGAAATTGAATCTCAAATCCTTAGGAAGTTTGCTTTGTATGTAACATATTAAGATTTACCTCCGTTATTCATTTCTCAAAGAGCGTTTCATGGTTTTATTTGATTCTCCTATAGGATCTAGTATAGTTCTAGCACAGTAATACTTTGTAGATACTTTTTAAGTTAAATGCCTAGCCAAGGATTAAAACATTGTTTATGATTTTTATTGAAGTAAGGAGAAAAAAGAACTGAACCACTCTTTGTTTTACCTAGAAACAGTCTGGCTCAAGAAGTCATGCAGGCAGTTCTAAGTAAGCAGCAGCAACTAAGTCTAAAGTCAGGCTTCAGAATGATTGAAAAATCTGAGACAAGAAAAAAATAACTGAAGGAAGGAGGTCAGAGCCCTGCTGGGATGTGTGGTGGAGATAGCACTTTCTACCCTGCACAGCTGCTATTGTGCTTTATTTAGCAAAGCATGGCCTGAAAACTCTCTTCCCTCCTTAGGAACTAAAGAAGGAGGTTATGGAGCACAGGCTGGTGTTGGACACAGTGAATGAGGTGAGCCGTGCTCTCTTAGAGCTGGTGCCCTGGAGAGCCAGAGAAGGGCTGGATAAACTTGTGTCCGATGCCAATGAGCAATACAAACTGGTCAGTGACACTATTGGACAAAGGGTGGATGAAATTGATGCTGCTATTCAGAGATCACAACAGGTAATGTTTGTAATACCTCTACATTAATATTTTAGATAGTGGGGATAGATGTGTGAGATACAATACTATGACCCATATAAATAATAATGACACAATGACAAGAATGAGTTCAAACTGAATCTGATGCAACAAACCCGTTTCAGAAATGGGAATTGATTAGGTAGTTTGTGAGGATAGGTCTGGGTTTGGTCCAAAATACTTGACTCCTTTGAGTAAAGAACTTAGAGAACAACCTTTATGAGGCTTTTCCTTAGCTAATGCCCTGCTAGGCTAAGATGTTTGATGGTGATGAGAGTAGATACTAAATATCTAGATCCAAAAGGTCCAAATGCATTATAATCTTAGTTTGATATAATCAACTCTTTTAGCATTAGATGAAAGAGGGAAGGAACCAAGAACTATAATTACTATCAAATATGCAAACCAAAATAGTAGACCTATCCAAAATAGAACCCTCTCAGAAAACACAAGTGTCATATTTCCCTTGATCTTTTTTCCTCCCTGCTTTCTGGGAGAAGGTTATTTGCCTTTTTCTGTAGCCAGGTATCACCTATCCATGGGCCATATAACAACTCCTTGATGAGTTCATAGTGATAAGCAAATGCTTTTTGAACAACACACAAATTTATATTGAGTCTAGGTACACAACCAATGTGTCTTGAGTGTTATCCCTAATCTTGGCCAGATATTTCAGTATGAAACTTACCATCCTTGAGAGAAGCTTATTTTAAATATTAGTGTAGTTTGTCAAAGTAGAAGAAGAAGATGTAAAAGATGGAGGGACCCTCATGAAATAAAAGTCATATAGAGCATGTTTTTGTTACTATTGCCTGCAAAGATTTGATGTTTTTAACTCTCCTTCAGCTGAGCAAGTACATCCAAGTTAACTTGCCAGGCGTGGTGGCTCATGCCTCTAATCCCAGCACTCTAGGAGGCTGAGACAGGTGAATTGCCTGAGCTCAGGAGTTCAAGACCAGCCTAAGTAAAAGTATGACTGTCTATGAAAATAGCCGGGCATTGTGGCAGGCACCTGTAGTCCCAGCTACTGGGCAGGCTGAGACAAAAGAAACACTTGAGCCCAACAGTTTAAGGTTGCTGTGAGCTGTGATGCCACAGCACTGTACTGAGGGCAACAAAGTGAGACCCTGTCTGAAAAAAAAAAACAAAAACGTTACCTTGACTCAACTACATCCATGTTAAATTTATATTTAAACATCTAAATAAAACTGTTGTTTAATATCTTCATAGCAAAGAGGATTGGCAGAATGAGTGCCCTGTCATAAAAGCATTGATTAGAGATATATTTCTTTTGAATGATGTCAATTTCTGTTGTTTCTATCTGTGGTACTACTAACAGGGTTCCACAACTTCTTTTAAAGAAGTTGACATGTGGGCTCGGCGCCTATAGCTCACCGGGCTAGGGCCCCAGCCACTTACACCTAAGGTGGCGGGTTTGAATCCCCAGCTTGGACCCACCAAACAACAATGACAGCTGCTACCAAAAAAATAGCCGGGCGTTGTGGCGGGCGCCTGTGGTCCCAGCTACTTGGGAGGCAGAGGCAGGAGACTCGCTTGAGCCCAGGAGTTGGAGGTTGCTGTGAGCTGTGAATGCCATGGCACTCTGCCCAGGGGGACAGCTTGAGGCACTGTCTCAAAAAAAAAAAAAAAAAAAAGAAGTTGACATGTGATCAATTCTACTTTGTCTGCATCTTGATTTGTGATTCTTCCCAGTTTGGGCTTTACTTTGTGAGATACAAATTATGTTATTCAAAATCCAGGCCTCTCTATGTTGAATAAATCAGAATTCTAAGGAGACCTTGGCTGTATGTAATTTGTTTTTCTTCAATACCTCTACTAGTATGAGCAAGCTGCTGATGCAGAACTAGCTTGGGTTGCTGAAACAAAACGGAAACTGATGGCCCTGGGTCCAATTCGCCTAGAACAGGACCAGACCACAGCTCAGCTGCAGGTACAGAAGGTAAGTTTAACACTAGTGGGCCCACTCTGACCTGAGCTAGTAGAATCATCAGTAGCTTAGAGAGCCTGCAAGAGTTTCTGACTAATCCATGTTAAGTGGAATGATTTAATGGCATCATAGAGGATAGAAATTAACCTTATGTGTACTTTGTTGGTGTGAGGGAGAAATTTTGCTCTGTGAAGAAGTAACTAGGAAAGAATCCAGGAAAGACTAGTTAGCAATTCCCTAGATGACTTTTAGGAGGGAAAATATTTTTGTAAACTACTGAAAAAGATAAACGAGATGTTGGATAGGCAAAGTGTCAAACTTTATAAGAAAAATTTTTGATGTGGCTTTAAAGCAAGGAATTGTTCAGTGTTTATGTAAGCTTTCACTAACACAGGCTTAGGGTCTCTTACTTCTTGACTTAACTACAGTTTACTTTTCAAAGGCTTTCTCCATTGATATCATTCGACACAAAGATTCAATGGATGAACTCTTCAGTCACCGTGGTGAGATCTTTGGCACATGTGGGGAGGAGCAGAAAGCTGTATTGCAGGTGAATTGCATTGATTTATATACCACATTGTTGTGTCCTGATCATGCTGCATTAGAAGTACAATTGTGAGGTGGTGCCTCAAAGGAGTAGGGTGCTGGCCCCATATGCCAGAGGTGATGGGTTCAAACCCAGCCCTGGCAAAAAACTGCCAAAAAAAAAAAAAAAAAGAAGAAGTACAAATGTGAAATGATGGGTTAAGATTTTTTGCCTCCTTGACTTTCTTATTACTGATTAATAGTTTTTGTTTTTGTTTTGTTTTTTTTTTATAAGACAGAGTCTCACTATGGCACCATCAGTAGAGTGCTGTGATGTCATAGCTCACAGCAACCTCAAAACTCTTAAGCGATTCCCTTGTTTCAGCCTCCCAAGTAGCTCAGACTAAGGCGCCTGCCACAGCGCCTGGCTATTTTTTGTTGCAGTTGTCATTTTTGTTTAGCTGGCCCTGGGCCGGGTTCAAACCTGCCACCCTCTGTGTATGTGGCTGGCACCGTAACCACTGTGCTACGGGTGCCAAGCCAGATTAATAGTAAAGTCCCACTTGATAGTCTAGGGAATTCAAACTCCTAGCCCCATGTTCACAAATGTCTAAGTAGCCATCGTATAAAATGTGACATGTATTGCAAATCCACTTTCTTTATAACAAAGAAATTGCTACTTATCCTTACTCCATAAGGAATAAGCTTTGAGTTACTTATCAAGGAATTTATGGTGGGGTTTTTAGAACTGCATGTATAGATTAATTCCTTCCTCAGGTCCTTCTAAAAGGTCACCTTCCCCCCCGCCCCTTTTTTTTTTGAAACAGACTCTCTGTCACTCTGCATAGAGTGCTATGGCATCATCATAGCTCATAGCAACCTCAAACTCTTGGGCTTAAGCAATCCTCCTGCCTCAGCCTCCCGAGTAGCTGGAACTATAGGCACCTGCCACAACACCCAGCTATTTTTTTGTTGTTGTTGTTGTTTAGCAGGCCCAGGCCAGGTTCTAACCCATCAGCTCTGGTATATGTAGCTGGTGCCTTAACCACTGAGTTACGGTTGCCAAGCCCAGGGGTTCAGAGTTCAATCAGTCCACCTGCCTTGGCCTTGCAGAGGGCTGCGATTACAGGCATGAGCCACTGCATCCACAAGTCACCTTTTTTTTTTTTTTAATTAATTAAATTTTTTTTGAGACAGAGTCTCAAGCTGTCACCCTCAGTAGAGTGCCATGACATCATAGCTCACAGCAACCTCAGACTCTTGGGTTTAAGTGATTCTCTTGCCTCAGCCTCCCAAGTAGCTGGGACTACAGGTGCCCACCACAATGCCTGGCTATTTTTTTTTTGTTGTTGCAGTTGTCATAGTTTTAGCAGGCCCAGGGCCAGATTTAAACCCACCAGTCCCGGTGTATATGGCTGGCGCCCTACCCACTGAGCTACAGGCACTGCCCCAGATCACCCATTTTTAAAAGGATTGTCCAATAGAGTTAGTTTGTAGGCCAGATTTGTTTGTTTTTTTATCAGGGGCATGGATAACCATAATTCCTCAGAAACATTCATAAATCAAGCTATTTATTGTAAACCTTAGAAGCACAAATGACAGATTTCTGGAGACTGTTTTTTTTTTTTTTAAGACAGAGTCTTACTTGGTTGCCCTCAGTAGAGTGCCATGGTGTCTTAGCTCACAACAGCCTCAAACTCTGGAGCTCAAGTGATCCTTTTGCCACAGCGCCCAGCTATTTTAGTAACAAGGTCTCACTCTGGCTCAGGCTGATCTCAAACTTGTGAGCTCAGGCAATCCACCTGCCTCAGCCTCCCAAGTACTAGGATTACAGGCATGAGCCACCACACCTGGCCTCTTGGAGACATTTTTTATTAGAGGAAAAAAGACTTGATGGGCAAAGACCATATCGTAGCCCCTGAGATGGTCAGTTTTAAATTGATCCATTATAATAATGCTGTATCTAATATGTATCATTGAAAAGTTAATTTTGCTGTACTTTTCTCACGCTGTTTTACTATCTTTTAAACCATTTTAATCTTTTGAAAATTACAGAAATGATATATGTATATGATAAGAATAAAATTCAGATAACTATAAAGAGGAAAATAAAAGTCACTTATAGTCTTACTAGATTAGTCCATATTTTTAAATAGTGTGTATTCCTTTAGATTATTTAATGTGTACATAATATACCTACTTTTTTTCCTTAAAAAAGGGGTTGACAATAGTAGTGACTTTTTTTTTTTTTTTGATTCATAGGAAAAGACAGAGTCTCTGATACAGCAATATGAAGCCATTAGTCTTCTCAATTCAGACCGTTATGCCCGCCTAGAGCGGGCACAGGTCTTGGTGAACCAGTTTTGGGAGACTTATGAAGAGCTCAGTCCCTGGATTGAGGAAACTCGGGCACTAATAGCACAGTTGCCTCCTCCAGCTATCGATCATGAGCAGCTCAGGCAGCAGCAGGAGGAAATGAGGGTAAGGTGTATGCCAAGTTTTATTTTATTGTAGAACTAAAAATCGGCTCTGTAATTTGTTCATAAATGACGTACTTATCTGTGCCTACTGTATGCAAGTTCTGTGTTATGAAGTTCTTAATCAGTTAGAATTTCTTTGCACAGTAGAATATGTACCTGAATTATTTCCTTTGTTGTTTAATATGAATTGATTAAAGAATAAGATCATGGAGATGTTGAGAACCTGGGTACTCTAGAGGTAAAGAAAGAACTAACTAAACAGTCAAAGGAATTTAAAGTATTTCCAGGGACAGTAGAGTGTTGTTAGACTCAAAGGATGGTTGGACGTGAACGGCTCTTTCTACTTGGTTAGGCACCAACTAGAGTGAGAACTTTTGCTATCCATAGTTAAGACAAAAGGGAGATTTATAGACATTTCAATTAATACTGTTACCATTAATGACACTTTATTAAATGTTTATTTCTGGGTTATGCCTTGTACTTACTGCTATCTCCATGGTCCTGTAAGTGGAAGGATGCAAACTGGGAGGCAACCAGCAGGAAGGTCAAGTCGGTGAGGGCCTGGCTTGCCAGAAATGTTGCTGCTCCATCACTCGTCCTGCTCGATGTCTCTCAGTCTGGGGAGGTAGATGGATATTAAACCGTGTAAATTATAGTGCACTGCATAGAAGCATTTATAGAATGGAAGAGGTTGGGGTAGATTGGCATGACATGGGTGGTAAGGGAGAATGAGAAAAAATATATCCAGGAAGGCTTCCAGGGTTCTGAGACATCTGATTACTGGCTTTCAAAAATTATTAGGTAGTGTCAGAGAACAAGACTTAGGTGTTTTTCTATTCCCCCATAAATGGTGAGATGCTGGGACCTACTGGCTTTTAATAATTTAGATTTTTCTTCTAAAATGGTATTATCTCTGATCAAAGTTATCAAAATAAATAAACTGGTATAAAAATGCCCATTATGTTTTCATCCATATTTCTTCACATAGCAACTAAGGGAATCTATTGCTGAACACAAACCTCATATTGATAAGCTACTAAAGATAGGCCCACAGCTAAAGGAGTTGAACCCTGAGGAGGGAGAAATGGTGGAAGAAAAGTACCAGAAAGCAGAAAATATGTACATCCAAATAAAGGAGGAGGTGCGCCAGAGAGCCCTGGCTCTGGATGAGGCCGTGTCACAGTCTGCACAGGTATGTGTGTATGTGGTGCCTGCCACTCCTAACCTTCAGCTGTCTGTTAGTCTAAGCAAGAGGTCCCCATATAAGGTGTGCCTCTGTGTGCAGGAATGTCCAGACCAGCATGTTGATAATACATGATCGACAGGGCAGGAAGCTTTGCCTATTTGCATTTTTATTCCGGGGAACATTGCCATACTGGCACTATAAGGAGGGTAAAAATTGGCTGGTATGTATTGTCTGCTGATGGTTCCCTGAAAACTTTTCATGTTTTAATGATCCTTTACCAGGGATGATTTTGGATAAATTTATCTTGCAGATTCAAAAGCAGTGACTGCCTCAAAAAAGTAGTTCCTATTTGTCCTGTTACTTTTGAGATTTAGAATGATAGCACATTAATTTTCTTACTCAAGAATCAACAAAGTAGCTTCTAGTTAAAAGAAGGGAAAGGAGAAGAGCCAAAAGAGAAGCATAAACCACCTGCAGTGGAGTTTAAAGCATGTAACTACATACTTTTCAACTAATATATTACTGTTAGTGATACTTCCGTCATGTCTGGGTATTTTATTCCTATGTTTAGTCAATATTCTTGGTTAATATTTGTACTTACTCACGTTTTTCCCCCCCACCTTCCGTCCCATCTCTCACTCACATTGTGGAATGTGTTACTTTGTGTTGTTGCTGCCTGCTCCTGTCTTCCCCACATGGTCACATTTCATTGTTGTGTTGACTGCGCCCACCATTACAGATCACAGAGGTAAGGTACTCACCCCATTGGTATTAGGGTGTTCTTACAAAGCTGAAAATTGAAGGCATTACCTATTATAAAATTTCTCTTTCCATTAAGTGGAATAAATTTGACTAGTGCAGTTAACTATGCCAGTTCTGTTTGGGGTGGATCCTAGAAGTAAGGGAATGTGATGGGAAGTGATTTTGTTAAGGAAATCCACCATGTTTCCTATAGAACTCTGAAAATTGATAAGCCTTACTTTCTCTAATTAAAGAATCCAGAGTTGGTTTTAGATAGATTTTTTTTTTTTTTTTTTTTTTTTTGAGA